TTTTTTTTTTTTTTGCTTACCTAAATCCTACCAGTCCACATTTGTAAGTGTTCTGGCCCAGCCCAGCCCAGGGGGATAACTTCAACATTTAAAAAGAAATCTTCCCGGGGGAACTTGCCCCCGGACCCCCCTAGAGGAGGTGAGGTCCACCACCTGCCCGTACCCCCTGTTAAATTGTCTCACCCACATTGAGGATGCTTCCTACGCCCATGTTTTATTCCATGTGTCAAGTGAGGGATTGTGGTGGTCTAATGGATAGTGAGGTGGGCTGAAGATTGGAAGGTTGTGAGTTCAAATCCCGCCAAGAACACCACCACTAGTGTGCCCTTGAGTAAGGTCCTTAGTTACTCCAGGGAGAATGTCCCTGTAATTGGTAATTGTAAGTCGCTTTGGATAAAAGCGTCAACTAAAATGAAATGTAATGGCAGGCAAATTGGGTCAAAATGTTATTGTATCAATGATCTGTTAACATTAAAATCACTAAATATATGCTGTAACTATTTTGCTCTAGGCAACTCAAGGGCTCAGGTAATGTGATTACTATATGAATAATTGTCCAAAATAACATTAAATGCATAGGGTTTTTTGTTAAGTACCATACTTTTGTCGCCGGCTGGCCGATACATGCCGCGCATTAAGTGGGCCTGTCTGTCAATTAATCCCCGGGCCACTTTTTCCCCCCAGTCCGCCCCTGCAATCAACTCTGGCAGCCAACTGAGATACAAGTTGATCCCTTGTTGTAGGGAAAGCCTCTGGATTGCACAGACTGGGCTGACAAAATCTTTCACATTCAAAATGGTTAATGGCTGAATTTATATATATTCTGATCTCATAGAGAATTAGTTTATAGTCTGATAATTCACTCTTCCAAGCAAATCCAGAAACACAGGTTCACTGGTTCACACACCCTGCTTATCTTACACAATTACAATAAGTACGTAATAAATGGTGTAAAAGGACATATTTTGCTAATGTTCTGGTTCATATTAGTATTTAGTGTGGGACATGTCTCCATGCTTTAATGTTCAAAAAGCTCTTTATTTTTCTCATACTGTCTGTGCTGCAGCACCTCTTTTCATTTGATTGGTTAACTTGGGTTTGGAACCATGGCCATGCCTCAACCACACCTCTGACCCCTCTGCTTAGCTACTTTTACCAGGTCATCCGCCCTCATTTGTCTCAGATGTCACCACAGACGGACCGTGCCGAAACATACATTCACAGTTCAAAACTTCGACAAAGGCTGAAGTTCATATTTTGAAAGAACCCACTCACCACGGCTCCTCAATGGCAAACTAACCGAACCGATTCAGACACTCTTTTTGAAACCAGTCATCCTCCAGGCATGACACATGACAGACAACAGCATAGACCCAGTGGAGACGCTCAGCGGTCAAAACAAAGGCCCACGGGCATCTCCACTCAAGACAATCTCTCCCGATGGGTTCCATCACAGGCCCTCCACCGCCTCTACGGCTACAGCCTGCTCACGCAGGGGGGGTTTGGGTGGCATTTTGTACTTCCCTAATGCCTCCACCCTTTGTCTGTCATTTCTCTTAGATAATCTCAGTTTTTTGGCTTGTAATAAATGCTGAGAATAAAAGAATCACTGGGGTCAGGCAAACTGTTCTAAAAACCATTGGGTGCAGACACACCATTCCAGGGGTCCAGCCTGGTCTTCAATGCAGGTGTTTAAAGTGAAAGGCGGGTATCATTCGTGTTGGAAGAAAAAACCCCTTCTGTCTTCCCAAAATTCTTGACTCCGTCTTATTGGAGGGCTGTTCCAGCTCAAATTGTGGTGGTATGGTCCTTTCTTGTGAAACAAAACTAAATGCAATCTTAAAGGTCCCATGACATGGCCATTTCTACTGATCATATTTCCATTGTTGAGGTACACTAAAATAGATTTATATTGTGCAATTTTCCAAACTCACATTGGTTTCTCATACAGCATCTCTGTAAAGTATGTGTATACACCGGTATATCCGGCACGAATCGCTGAAAGGTTTGGGAAGCTTTGTTTCGTGAAATGCTGGCAGAGGGTGTGGCCTCTGGGTATTCCCACGTCAGAGTACCCAGGAAGAAAATGAGAAATCTCCAACGAGGCGTTTTGGGGCAGCATATACTGTGTTAGAGTTTTACTCGCTACAGGGTGTGCTTTGAGGGTCTTTGACTCTGCAGACCGTTTACATCCATAAGAACCTTCATAACACACAAGGGGACGGGTAATAACCGGAAAAGCATGACATGGGACCTTTAATGTTACATTCTGGGCCTTTTTTCAAGCTTGGCATGGATAGTATAGTATAGGGAATCTGATCCCTCTAACAAATGACTTTGTGAGATGTTAAGGGAACATGTTTGGAGTGAGGAGTTACCTTATCGTCACAGCTCTGGACTGGGGTGAGTGCGGGCTCCTCACAATGCTCTGTTGGCCCATCCACCTTGTGGGTGTCAGCAAAGTCGCTCACAGACAGCCGAGTGCCTACAGACAATCACACAAAATGGCCACTGACATTATGGACAGCACTTTGATGTAAATAAATACTTGGAACACAGTTTGTACCCATTTTAAAGCAGGGAGGGTTTTTATTCCTTAGTCACATGGTAGCATGAAAGCAGCATCAGCTGAAACTTCAAGAGACATTTGCACAGGCTGCACCTTTGCTAAAGATGTCTGTTGTCCGTTCGGAATGCTATTTGATGGTGATTTATGAATAAATTAAGTTAATAAATTAAGTAAATGTTCATTTAAAATAAAAATGTTGATTCTATCCATCATTGGAAGAAAAGGCCTAATTATATTCAGTGTGATTATGAAACATTTAACGAGACACAGGATTGAGCTAGTGCAGGCCTATGATCCCACGTTGAGTACAGTGAGAAAAATCTTACCATTTTTCATCAAATCATTGGGCACACCATCAAAGTTTCCACAGAGTCCACATATCTTGTTCTTGTATTTCTCATCAATTTCAATCTGTGAACACGGACGAAATATAGAGAAGTAATTGGCAAAACATAAGTTATAAATGAATCATTCATTATTCAAAGCAGACTTTTAAAAGGAAGCAAAATACTATTATAACATATTTTGACATACCAAATAACTTTTCCTATGTAATCCATCTAAGATTTTGAGTAGGTCATACTCATGTGCTCTGTGAACCCTTTGGCATTGCTACGGTAGGAGAGTAAAGTTTTGCTTTCCAAGCTGGTGCATGACCTGTCATTGCAAAATGCACTCTTTTATATTCACATTGTGCATATTTATATTGTTTGCTTATCTCTAGGACATAACCTGTCACACAAATTCCCTAAGTGACTCACTGCTGAACTCATCCAATATTTGAGTTAAGGCTTGGATGGCATCAGATTTATATAATATGTCGCGAGCCAAATACAACATGCTCTCAAGCAAAGCTTACAGGTGACCAAAGGTTATTGGAAAGCATAAACACTTTATTCGGTGTACTTTCAAACATGACATTAATCACATTAACTCATCCCATATACATGTATATTGCACCTAGTTTCCCTAATGTCCAAGCTTTAGAAACAACAATAGCTAATACTATGCCACTTAGTCCAACTTCTGAAATTATTTTTGATTTTGGCACTGCATTCTTTCACAGCTATCAAAACCACACACATTGGGAAACTTGAAATAAGGGATGCGGGTTTTGTGAGCAATGCTAAGTTCTTATTTTCAAATAAATTGCCTTATAATGGTACCTTTAAATGCAATAGCTGAGCAGCTATCATTCTTTCAGATTGGGAGGGTATTAAAATGGTACAGTGCCGGTAACTAGAAGGCTTAATATATTGAGAGGAAAGAAAGTGTATCAATTGAATCGCTAAATAAAAGTGTTTAAATGGATCAGCACCAACTCTATATTTAAATAGTTGTAGGTAACTGTGTCAAGTATGTTTGCCTTTCGTCACACGCCACTATTATGAGTGAACTCCTGCTCCCCACTAATCTTGTTTATTCTTCATCAACCTTTTCAGGGGTTGTGATTTCTTGTGACTGTGGTAAGCAGTTTGATGAGGACAACAATGGAGTTGTGTAGCAAGGAGGGACAAGCTCTTTTAAAGTGTGGCGATAAACAAAATAGCTTGAAGGATAGGTTTATTGTTTTATTGTTTTTGTTCGATCGTTTGGGCCTTTTCTTATGAGTTGTTGCTTTTATTAAAGAAATAAATAATATGAGCCTTATCCTTTAAGAATAATTGTGTTTCTTTGTTTTCATATGCATTCCAAGCAAACTGGATTTTTCTAAGGCTTATGTGTGAGAAATTAAGAGTGATTTTGCCATTGTGTTTAAAACCCTATGTCAATACAGCTGAACACAGAACTGGACAGAAGTGTGTGCTACATACGTCCAGGGAGTCGTCCAGGTTCCAGGTCACTTTAATTCCCTGCTTAGCTTCCACAATGATATTAAAATCCGTCCGCATGACGCTCACGCCGAACGTGACATGTGGCAGAGACACCCTGCAGAGAGTAAGTGTACACATATGAACAAATATGTAACATCTGGAAACTGTCTCACTGCCATTTGCAGGTTGCATAAAGTTTCAGACTAATCAAAGCTGTGTTCAGGAAATGTCTGCATTCAAGGATTACTGATTTATTACTGATAGATTGATAGAATGATTATAATATCTTTCATGTAGCCAACTTAGGTGAAAAACAACAAAGTACAAAAACCAACCAATAACCCAAGATTGACAAAGTCTGACTTAATTATAGTCTTTAAAATGTGAAGTGGTGCCTTTTCATTTTTCTGCATGCAAAACCTCGCACTAATTATTTATATGAAGCTTTTATCACATAGAGTAATTTTCTACCCATTGCGGATTTTAGTAAAGATGCATCTCCAAGTTGTTCCCATTGTAGTTAAAGGAACTTTATCTCTGAACTTTATCTGCTTGCTAAGTATTTACAACATTGGGAAAGTCTTTTAAATACGGTTTGCAATAAAACAGTCAGAAGTCATTTGTTGTGAAGGAACCTGAAGAATCTTTACTCGATGTTGGATTTTTATAAAGCTTTCAAGCAGTTATCACATTCCTGCGATCGCTCTGCGAATGGAATTTTCAGAAGAAGAAAGGAGAAAGGCGTTTGCTTTGTCCGTGACCACTGCAGAACCTCCATCCACAGAGGCAGGCCGAGATCCAAAAATAGCTACTCCTGCTTCCATAGCGTTGTACTAAATGTAAATGTCTGATCAAGGAAACATTCCCAACATTATCAACACAGTTTCAGGCTGAAAGAAGAACGAATGAGTTTTCCTTTTTTGGAAGTGTTTCCTTGTACGATGTGAGGGTCAAAGGACAGAGGGTATTGTCATACTGATATTCTGTAAAAACTGTGAAGTCCACTGAGACAAATGTAACATTTGTGATATTGGGCTACATAAATAAACATTGATTGATTGATGAGGTAAAGTGTCTCAGGGAAACATGTGGTGGACTGATCTGGACTGGACTTACGTCTTGCCATCGACTATCACTGAGCTGTTGGACAGCTCCACCACAGAGCCTTCAAGCGTCATGATAATGTTGCTAATGGTGGGGATGTCATCGATGACTGTGCGCCTCATTTGGAGGTTTAACTCTTTGTAGCTGTCTTTACACTCGAAGACCAAGACATGGTTACAGCTGGAGGCCAGCTGGAAGAAATCTCCATCAAAAGTCTTCCAGTGGTAACGACCCCAAGTCGTGCACACTCGGCCGATCTTATTTGTGTTAGCTGAAACGAGATTAACATCAGAACATCTTTTTAACTGATATGAAAGGGTGTGCAAAAATCTAAAGCATGTACACAGTTAACTCAGGCTCCCTGTCAGAAGAGAAGGAATTATGTTTACTGAAAGAGAAGACATTTTCATTGAAATGTTTCCCACAACAACTGTGTATCAGCTGGTCTAGTTCTTCACTGTTCTTCTTTATTGAAGTCTGATGATGCTTACAATGAGCAAACAGGGACACGTCCTCTGATTGGACCCTATTATCCTAGATTAGTATTGGCCATTTGCTCGGTCTGATGGGCAGTTGGACCAGTACTCTAAGACATATTTTAATGCTATTGGTGGCACTTTAAACTGTGACTGTTTATTAGATTGTAGTGTCTTTTTGGCCTTTTAACTGTACAATAGTTTTTATGAGATATTTGTTTTGTAGATCTGAAGTTTAGCATTCGTTGTCAATACAATATTTTGTCCACACAGGCTTATTCATTTTAATAGTTTTGCTACTTTAAACTGTCACTGTTTTTTGTAAATATATACTAATATAAGAAAACTAATGTATGTAAGCCATATATTACATTTGTATAGTCTCACTCGTGTTTTTGCGACTGGTCTATAAAATGCCTACAAATACATTTTAAACAGGTATTTAAGAAATGGTGAGATGCAATGTTAATAATCATATGCTGCCATAAGAAGTGCAAAATATATACGGTAGTATATTAATGCTTGGGTGAACTAAACCCAACATGCCATAGACTAACAATCAAATCGATAGGTAATAATCACATAAACTCAAACTCATCAAAATTCAAAATCTTTGGAGCTGGCTGTTGAAACATGACATTAGTCTGTGTTTGGTATGATGATGGGTAATCTGTAATCAACTGGTTCATGCAATGAAAGCTAAAGTAAGACAATTATGTCATGTATTTGTAGTTTCTTTTTATATTTTGTAGACAAATAAAAGGAAAATATAAAAATATATTGAGTACGTCATATTTCCTTAATCATAAACCAAACTACATTTCTGTTAACGTCCAGTTTTAATAGTGTGAATCTGTAAGCATTTCCCAGGTCCCCACTCACCTATCTGAGAGACTGAGCCGACAAGCAGCGTCAGGAAGATGATCCATGATCCTATGGTCCCCATGTTTGCTCCTGAGGACTGAACCACTGTGACACTACTCACCTGGAGGGCAAATCCCTTTATAACCATGAGCTCAGAGAGAAAGAGAGATAGGCAGCTCCACTATTTGTCCCTCCTTCACTCTAAATGTCTTAAGAGAGGTTGGTATTTGCATATGGAATTAATACCTTTGAGTACACACAAGGTTGCTATATGTTTGCTCAGCAAACATATCATCACCTCTATCACTGCACTTGTTCCGTTTACAGGCCTCCGCTGAACCACAGACCCTTCAGCTGGTATGGATCGAGATCAGCTGCCTAGCTGTCTTGGTGCTGTCTTATCGTGTAAGGTCCATGTCCTGACCTTACTTATGTGAACCCCGTGGAGCACTTCAGCAAACTTGAATTAATTACACGTTATTTTATTATTACTGGAAAAACAGTAGTGGAATGTAAGTAGTTTAATTGGGTTGCAAACCCTTGGGCAATAAGTGCACTTGGCAGATGCTTAAAATTAAAAATTAAAACAGTTCCAACAGGTAAGGCATATTTTGCTCAGGTACATGGGCTCATCATTGTAGTTGCTAGTAAACCCCCAACAGAATGATGTTTTAAACTGTTAAGCCCTGACATGCCCAGAACAAATGATTATATCTTCACTTCTAAAAGGGGTAAATTAATAAACTTTTTCAGTCAGAATCAATATAGATGTTTTTATTTTAAAGAAAATTCAGATTGAACATAGTAAAAAAAAAAATGATAGTTTCCGTCCAAAAGAAACCCATTACCTATAGTGAAAACCACCCTTGAATGATGGGAGAGTAGACAAAAACCTTTAGGTATCCAAAGTATAACATATAATAAGTACCCTGTGTTATGTATGCGTCACATCAGGTGAGACTCTGCCTTTAAGATGACCCCGGGAGTTTGGGGATGTGTGAACCGGACACAGTTAATAGTTGTTGTTGTGTTGCCATGGCAGCATGTTCAATAAACAGTCAACCTAAAAGTCGTAGTCCATAGTCTTATTAAATACAACATTGGCAACGAGGATTATGGATTCTCTATTCTCACCTCTCTCCCCGTTCCTCGCACTGCCTGGCGAACCGCTGATCCCGTGGGTTCGCTGGCTTGAGTCCTTCTAAACTTTCATAGTAGAAGAAGAAAGCCCTGCTGATACACACGCTGGGCAGCGAGGGACAGCAGATTTTTCTGACTCTCTGACCCGCTCCGAAATATGGGGACTCTGTTACACTGCTCACTGGACACTTTGCTGCTCCACGAAATGTTATGCTCCGGTTGTTCATTTTTCGGCAACGTCGGCAACAGGCGGCTGAGTCCGTCCACCATTACGTGGCTGATCTGAGGGGACTAGTGTAAACTGTGTTCGTTATTCTCCCGTCCAGGAGAGAAGCTTTAAAAGGAGACTAAATGGAGTCTCTGTGAAAGTTCAATTGGGTACTTTAATTAAAAAAGGCGCGGGTTGGTCACAAGCATGATATTGTTCAGTCAGACAACAGCTGTGATCCGCTCCTCGTTAGGGAAGACAAGAGGCCGATCTGGATCTCTCCTCCGGTGCTGTTATATATCCTCTGCTGGCTCCTCCCCGCCAGCCGGCTCGCCTCGTCTCCAATGTCCGTTGTTGCATTTAAACAGAGGATTGGTTCTTTTCACATTCAATATATGCTTAACACGCCTTTTCTCCTCATATTCTCTTAATCACTTTTCATGTAACACATTCTAAACGCTGTAATCAATACTCTAAAAAATACTTCTCGGCTCGTTTGGTTTCCGGTCATTCCGGATGTTGTCACATGCTACTCTCGTCTGTAAACAATAATGTATTCAAATAAACTGTACCTTCATTTAATATTCAGCATGGTAGTATCTCGACATCTATAGTTGTAGTGTTAAATCAGTAGGCTTCGGTTTGCACCACTCCATATCATTTCGCTACTAAATTCACCTCTTTAGGAAATCGTAAATTACCACATGCTAAATGCCAACCGGAGATGAAAGAGTTTCAGAATAAAGCTTAACTGCTTGTGCACAAGAATTTCTGTTTTTTCAGTGTAAAACTGCATTAAAACTGACGGCGTGTTTAAACTACATTTCCCCATTAAAACATTGATTTTAATTTCTAACACCCCCCCGAGAGGATATTAGGTC